ATCTTATTACCTTTTATTTTATATTATATGCAGACTAATAACCTTTATTGTTGAAGACTTAACTTTAAATAAAAGAAATAAAAATATATGAATAAGTTAAAATTAAAAATGTGATATAAATGATGGTAGATTACATTTTTATAAAACAGTTGTAAAAAGAGTGAGGAGGGAGTTAGTTAGTGAAGGTGGCTTGGACAGAAATTTGAATAACATGAAAAATCTTTAATAGAATTTACACTTATGTTAATATTAGGAATATTGATATAATTGAGCTTAGAAACAACGGAGGCATAAGACGGTTTGGACTGAGATGGAATGAGGGTGTTTAGAAGAAATATTTTCACCGATTGGTGAATTTCAGGACACTGTGTATGTTTTTAAAACGGTGGTTTTGAAGATGATTTGAGACGAACTTGAAAGCAGGTCATTTTTCGAAATTAGCCGTATGGTCATTGGTATAGAGAGCACATTTAGCTAGGCTATTTCGGTTTTAAGTACATTCATCGGAGAGGTAATCTTCATCAAATTTAACGCATATCTAGTATGATGGTGGCAATGATACCTTGTATACATATATGATTGACAATGGTAACATTTAAGAGGACCACGATAGATTTTGTGAGATTCCTTGATGATATTAACGGTGCTTAGTATTGATGTGACTTTGTATACATGTATAATGTTGTCTTGGGGATTTAAATTGAAGAAAAATATTGAGAAAGCGCATTTTTTTTTGTTTTTAACATTAATAACTTGTTTCACAGTATGCTCTTTTCTAACAAAAAATATCCGTGCACACAGGGTAGAATGGTGAAGGTTTTTGATTATATTTTTGATCATATATTGATGATGTATGGATGAAGATGACGCGTCATCCCGCGGGATCGGTATGTATGTAAACTAGCGTTGGTTTACATTCAGTGATCTATGGTTGCATTATAATTGATATGATCTCTAGGACATACAATAAGATAAAAAGAGGTTGATGTACAAGTAAAGGCATTTAAATCGGTAATTCTTGATAATTCGTTCTTAGATGCAGTGAAATTGTTAATGTTTTTAATATAAAGCAAAGAGTCACAGGCTCAGTGTCATATTTTATAGAATATCTACTCTAATAGAATAATTGTTGATTTGTTATGGTTATTCGAGCTTTTTAAATTCATGAATTATGATATTTTATATTTTTTTAATACATACATTATTATTTTTAGATATTAAAAAAAAAAATTAAAATATTTGTCAGTAATAAGTAAATTCTTGTTTCAATCTGTTATTTAAAACTTTATCGTTTATTATAATTTTAAAATGAACAGTCAAAAAAGTGATTTACATTTTTGTTTTATAAATTACATTTACTTTTAATTAAAATGTAAATGTGAACATAACAATTGTTTTTAAATTAATATACTTTATAATTAAAAATAAATGTAATTCATAAAACAAAAATTAAATTATTTTAAAATTTAGAATTCAATTGTTTGGTAATAATCGCTAATACACGCACCATTAATATTACGTTCGATGTACTCGTTTGCGCTGGGTAATTAATAATCAATGTCATATAACTCATTTGTCATACTAGTAATTTATCTCAATTATCAAATACAGCCTATTTTTACATTCAAAATTTGTCACGATTTAATTAAAACCTATTAAAACCTAACACCGAACGAAAACATCAATTTTTCTTTTTATTGATAAAATTTCATTATTTTTATAAATAGCTAATTTTTATATTCTGCATTCGATATTTATTAAAAAAAAAAAAAAAAAAACTAAATTATAATATTTTGTAAACATATGTTATTATTTTAAATTAATAAAATTAATAAATTAATTTTTGTTTCCTTTGGACCCACAGCCTAAACCGATACTACTTATACTTATACTTAGATACCTTAAGGCAGTATAAAAGAACAGATGAGTGGTGACTTCATATTGAATTATTGGGTATCCGCATATTACATCTTCTGTATTCATAAAGTATATTTTAATATGTATGAAATAATAATGGAGAACTTGATGTATTTTAATATATTATGTATAATTATACCAACAGCCAACTTATAGTTATCAATACATTATTTTATAGTACTGTTTTTCATTTCTTACATCACTTATTAGTTATTTTATTATTCCTATAAATTGTTTTAAATAGATATTATTATTTATTTGAAAATGCTCATTAAAAAAACGATAACAAATTATCATTTTTTAAATAGTCATAGATTATTTGATTACTTTGATCAATGTGACCTTAAAATATAATCAATTAAAATTATAAATGTATTTTATAAATAATAAAATATAACCAGTTATTACAATTCTTTGTAAATTTAATTAAATTGTTTATTTAGCAATTTTTTAATGATAATGTAAAATGTAAAAAAAATGTTTAATAAGTGACGGAAAATTATGTATATGTATCAGATATCCAAGTTTATACTAAGAATTATGATTGATATATGAATAAGTCATAGTTGTGATTGTTATGAATATGTATTACAAAAAAAAAAAAAAACCTACAAAATTTAATAATATTTCCTTTGTGGTTTGTTTAAATCCGCGTACCACCATATGTATGTCATTAACTTTATGTAAAAAATGCAAAGAAGGCAATAATTTAAATTTAATAGTTTTTTAATGTACAATGTACACGTACAAAATTCTAATAAAAAAAAATTTCGTGTTGTTAATTGTTAACTAGACCTATTGTTCGTAAAATAAATAATAAAATACAGTGTAAATACCACCGTTGATTGCAATGAAGTAAAGTACTTTTTTTTTTAAACGACTTAAATACTAATTTTATTTAAATTTTGTTAAAACTTTAGGCTCATAATTCAAACAGAAAAAAACAGTTCGTGTTATATTTTATACTAATACATTTTGTAAATGAACATGAACAACAACTACTGTAATTTTATTGTTTAAATTTGTGATGTGAAATTAATATTAATATTTTATTTTATCATTTAAAGTATTTGGAAGAACTGAGTGTAACCATTGGCGTACATAAGGGGAGGTCTGGGATTCAAACCCCGCCAAGGCCAAAAAAAAAAAAAATTGTTTTATTATTGATGACGTGTAATATATTCGTAGTTTCATTATTACGCTTTGAATTTAAAATATACAACTATACATACAAATATTATAATAATTAAATAATTATATTGATAGGTGTTTGAAAAGTTTTGTTAACTGTGCTGCTTTTATATTCCAGTAGCTATTAATTTACTGTAATGTAAAAGTAAACTGTAAATTGGTAAAAAAGTTGTATGAAATAATATCTATTCAGTTATTTATCTGTGCAACGAAAAAAAAAAAAGATAACGATTATTTTTATTAAACTCGGGGAGGACCCCCATAGCAAGATTGAATGTACGCCACCGAGTGTAACAGCTATAACGTGCCGGGTAAAATATAATTTTTAACATACGTGTGTAAAGTACCGCCTAATTATAATTAATGAAATAGTGAAATTAAAATGCGGTTTAGGAAGTTGGTTTCAGTTCGGGGTTTAGAATCGAAATTTATTGATCGTAGTGAATGGGGGAGAGTTTTAAAAATAAAATGAAAAAACGAACAAGCACCGCGCGTTTACACGTTTTGCAAAAATGATGGTTTCATCCCGGGAACGTCGTGTCAACAACTTTATCCAATGAGAACAACTGAAGGTAATAAAAAAAAACGTAGAAGGAAAAAAAAGAAAATCAATATTCGGCCACCATGAGATTTGAACGCCGTAGCAATAAAACGGAAACCGCGCGCAGTTTCCCTCGACTTCGTACGAAACGCCATGTCCTCATATTTTATAGCATTCTTCTGGAACCGAATAAAAGTAGATCGACGTTCTGTCTTCAAATGTAACGCACAGTCACTATCACTATTTTTTTTTTTTTCCGTAGCGTTACGTTTCGTACCAGTACGCACACTTTGCAAGCGTTAATTTTTTTTTTCTACATCAATGCGGACGCGTAAGCAACGTTCGTCGTAGGTTTGACGAAACAGTAAACACGGTCAACGCGGGCGTGCCGGCCAGTAAGACAAGTGCGTCGTTCGTTTTTAACGACCAACTGGTACGAGGAAAAACGGTGCACTCGGGCAGACCTGATACGGTGGTGGGCTAATGGTATCGCGAAAACGATACGAGACACGTATTACTAATCGGTCGACGAGTGGCGATTACGTTCCGGCCGTTTCAGGTCACGGGCGCACCGCTTCAAACGTAGATAATTGCAATGCGATTTTCGCGAAAGCAACGATCGTGACGTGCCCGGAACACAGACTTCTATACTACATTAGTTAGAATAGAATAGACTTCTAGAGTATAGAAGCCTGTGGCCCGGAACGACACCCGGGCGTTCGATCGATTATGGATTCTCGGGCACTCGACGGTGATAAGAATTCACGTAGTCCGTCCGCGCGCGTGCGAGTGCGGGACACCGGTCGGTGGGTTAAGTGGTTTGCGTCTGCCGCCCGTGCGCCGTATCTGTCACCGTCGCCAACCGTACGCGTTCGTGTAAATAATATTACGGCGGTGTACGGGACGAGTGGTAGAAAAGAGAAACGCACGGCCAGTTCTACTGGAAGTCAATTATATCGTTCCGAGGACGGCGATAACGATCGGTTCGGCGCCGCGCGGACGGTCGGGGCGGAGGGACGTGTCGTTGCGCCGCCCGGGTACGAACGTACGTTTCCGAGAACACCCTAAAATTAAAATATTTACCACCCCGTTCCTTTCCCCCCCCTCCCACCGTACCCGGGGCAGATAACGACGACGACGATAATGACGAATCTATATTTATTGTAATACAATAACAAATGTTCGCCGTACGTGCACATGTGTATGCGTGCGTCGGGGGTATGCGGGAACGCCATTCGCTGTTGCCATTGGCAACAGCTGATTCCCGCAGAGGCTGCACTGCGCATGACGTACGATCGGTACGTGTGCGTGTGTGCGTGTGTTCTCTCCCCCCCGACAACAATCCAATACCGTACTCGTACCCGCTGTGGAAAAATAAAAATTTATATAAACACACACATACAAGTATTCGTTATATACATATACGTATGTATAGTGTCATACCGTGTGTACATAATTTATATATATATATATATATATGTAAACGTTAAGCGTGTGTTGGTGTGTACGTCTGGACTGTGGTGCACCCGTCGGATACCTATTGCTCGTGAGTGATAAGTTGCGTTCGCCCGTGCTGTTGAACGGAACGTTTCGATGTTTTTAATGGGCTACAAAGCGAACATTTGCAGCAGTAATATTGTCGTGGCCACCGCCGCCACCGCCTTTGTGCGCCGAAACAGCAATTGACAATCGCCGCGCGCATATTGGACCCTAATGTCCACTGTTCCGCCGCCACCGCCGCCGCGATCCGTCGGCCATTACATCGACCCGGAGTGACTTGTCGCCAGCAATGGCTGTTCTGCGCGCGGACCGATAGGTTCTACGAGTGTGTTTTTATGTGTGCGTGTGTGTATGTGTGTGCACACAGTTAGTCGCTGTTCAGTCATACGCCGCGTACGATCGACCGACGGGCCACATCCCGTTACGCGACGACTTCCGACCAATGTTATTGACGTTTACGTGAATTCATTGGCATCGTCGCATCCCTGGAGTCACAATGGCCGTTCGCCGGCCTGAATCTGGATCTCCGGTCGCCGCCATGGCTGTCGGCGGATCTCGAGAAGCAGAACCTGCACCGACGACGGACTGTAATTCCAAACGAAAACACATTCATTCAGGTAAGTGTTTTCTCGTTCTGTCCGCTCCGTTCGATCAAACATGATTTCACCATCGACCCGTTGTTGTTAGTGTTTTGTCAAAACGTTTCCCAGTCCACGCGTCGGGCGAGACTGAACAATCGTCTAGGTGGTTTCTCAGTGAATACATCCACCCACCGCTCTAGATTTTGCTGCACAAACTTAGATAGTTTTATAAATTCCTTTGTACACTCTTATTTCATTATGCTGCATTATATTACAATAGTTTTTAAACTTGAAATTCACAGAGCCCTGACAAGACTTTTTTAAACCATAGATCCCTTTTCTAATTTTATTTAATATAACCTATTTTTTACATGTATTGCACATGTTTGTTATATGTTCACAGCTCAGAATTACTGATAGTGCCACTGATCACACACTTAAACAATCGTTATTTGATTGCATTAAATTTATAATTTCTCAACTTAACATAACAATGGACGTTCAAACCTTAAAATCCTGTTCAGGAGTTAAAACGGAATTTCTTTCTATAGGTACTGCCTTGGTAACACATCTCATGATAAACAATGTTTTAAATATTTAGAAAAAATTACCTACTTATTTTTATATCTGTTGTGTATTTACTGAGAATAATCCTAGTAGAATATTTCTCAAAACTGTTTTGTCTTAAACTAATGTGTATTGCATTAGATTCTCATTGAAGAACCTGCTTCTTTATTTAATTATAATATTGGACATTGGCTTCACTTTAATAGTTGATTGTTGTTTTATTTGTTGGTGCTACTTGCTGAGAATTATTAATTCATATGGTCTCAGTAGAGTAGTTGTTTTCATTGAAAGCTACTTATGGTGAATGATTGTTTGGTTATTATTTGATTTACATAATACAAAAAAATTTGTTTGTATCCTTAAGAAACAGTGCCTAGTATAAAATATATTATGGACTTTGGTACTGTATCATTGTATTTAATTATAAATCTAAAATGAATTGTACTTAGGTGTTTATCAATTGGATAATACAAATTTATCAATATAGTCATCTTTTTGATAAGCATTTAGGTATCTATAAAACATATAATACATTTTCTAAAAAATTATACCATGACATTTTGATTATGCTGTAGCTATTAATTTGTCAATTATAGTTTGTATTTACATTAAGCAGATATGTAAATACTTACTAATATTTTCAGTGATGCAACTAAATTCTAAATTTTAGGGGGACTTGAAGTCCCAAAAAAATAGTTCGTTCTTCCTAGGCCCAGGTAAGGTTTTGTTTTAATAGCCTCTACCCGGGTAATTATTAAAATAATTTTATATTATATTAAATATAATTATTTATTATATTCAATTAATAATACAGCGTAAGCCATAAGTATATTTTTTTATTTATTTAAATAAAATAATTAAATATTATTATAATTAGTATCTATAGACACTGTGCTAATATAGTTAACCTTAAAAAGTACATTTAAATAAATATAAAAATGAATAATATTTATACATTTTATAAATTAAAATACTATACTGTATAGTATTATAAAATATAATCATTAATAAAGTATGCTATATTTATATTTTATAAATATTAATTTCTAAATAACCTAAAACATATTAATTTCCAAGCCTTTCTGGATGGTTTAAAAATGTATAGTGTCTATTGAATACTTTGATCAAAACAATATTATAAACACATTAGCTTTTGAGTTATATTAACTTTTAAGCTTTTAACTTATATTAACTCAGTAATACCACTAAATTGTCAAGAAAACCAAGTTTTAAGTAAAATTAATAATAAATGGTTGATCGTCTTATCTTGATTGAGTATAAATAGAGTATATTTTTAATATAGAATGATTTGTTTATGATATTATAAAGGCTTATTTATTGCTGCATTTATAAAGTTGATTGCTGTATTGTATTAAAAAATAACCATAACTAAACTAAGTTAACTGGGTATTAAGATCAAGGTGATTGTTCACAATAAATTTTACTCAAACAAAAGTTTAATAACAAATGTATAGTTGTAGGTCCATCAACTATTTTTAAAAGTAAGAATGTTGTATTAATTTAAACGGAACAATAAATTATCAAATTAAAAATTGTTAAAGAAAATCTATGAAGTGTGCTTAATATTAGAGATAAGATTTTGTTGATCTAAAGAGTAGCACACAATTGATTTTTCATGTTTTGAGAATGTGTATTAATGTAATATTATTAACTATGGTTTATTTAATTTTCTCGAAAACAAATTCAAATCTATCAATGATTATGATTAATTTCCAGAATTAATACTGAAATCTGTTAATTAAATATATGATTACTAATTTTGTATTTTTAAATACATATATTATAAATACTCTGTACATGTTCTTAACTAGTGGTTAAAGTGGGAAAAATGTTATGGGGGGACTGTATGCATTTAAAATTGAGGAGCATTCCCGTATCTAATTCTAAATCTTACTAACCTTTTTTAGGAAACCCATGAGACTTAGCCTCTTCTGTTATACATGTATGTTCATAAAAAATGTATTTTCATAGGGTGTAAAAACAAATTTCCCCCAAAGAAAAATAATTCTATACATATGCCTGCTCAGTAAAAATAAATTGAAATACATTATTACTGTAATATATAAATAAAAATAAATATAAATACTTTATCGGGTACTTTATATATTATAACAAGTTATTATTTCTTTTTTCCACTTGTTCAAATTAATCAAAAAAATAAATTTCATGTAATATTGTAAATTATAATAAGTATTGAATATTCAATATTGTATTTTAGTGACCAATGCCTTAAAGCGTCCACCTGGACTTTTGGTGACTTAAATTAAAGAGAACGCATAATCTTACCTTAAATAAGAAGGGAGACTCCGTCCCCCCATTGTTCCCCCACTTTAACCACTGCTCTTAACAATAAATATTATTAAAATTATCAAATAAGTTAAAAATATAATAAATAAGTAATAAATTACATTTATACATTTAGTATCACTTCTAACATAATTTCCTTTTATGAAACTAAATTTAGAGCCCATCTAAAAATAAAAAGGAACCAAAATTCTTTGTCATAACTTTTGAGACATTTTAATTTTATTTAAATTAACTTATATCAGTATTTAAGTTTCATTAACAAAACTACAAATTCTCTATTATTAAAAGTATTATTTGGGTATTTCGTATTATACGTACGTTTAAAATTAGTATTTATATACATTTTATACTGTATAAAAATAAAATCCCTTAGAAACAAAAAAGCATTTATAATTTAAACACAATAAAATAAGAAAATATAAATTATAAATAAACAATTGTGGTGCTATTAATCTATTGTTAATAATTATCATTATTTTATCACTGATGTATTTATAGTAAATTCATTGTACTTGGCATATTTGTAACCTTAATATTTTATACTAATAGATTATAAACGAAAAACTAAAATAGACATATTATATTAAATAGTAGTAAAATATATTTTTACAATGTATAAAATTTAAAAACCTTACTTAATATCTGAAATAGGAATTATGTTTAATTTTGAAGAGTGAATTTCAAAAACAAACAGAATTATATGTTTTATAGGTATACATATATTACACGTATAAAACGTTTTATACATGTATATTACCAATCCTGGTATTAATTGAAAAATGAAAGATGTTACTCTTGTAAAGATAATCTTAATATTGTATTAATATTTATGTAGCTTTATGTTAAACATAGGTTATAATATTAAATTATAAGTAAACAAAAACAATTATTGTGTTATATTTTTCCTTACTTTGCTCTTTTTCTATAAAATATTTGAATTGTATCTAAGAATAATTTAAAATAAAATTTATTTTTATTTTTTATATTAAATAGAATGTATAATTTTGTCATTACTTCTAAAAACAATTATATTATATTGACTTTTAATTTTACATTTAGATAACTAGTAAATTTAATTTAATTAAACAAAAACAAAACAATTAGATATTTATAAAAGATTATTACTTTAAGATATGATAAAGAGTAACATCAATAATTCATTATTTATTTTGCGTATGAACAGATGGCAAATTTGAATTAATATAAGGTATTATGACAATATTAATGACAATAAAAGTAATGAGTAAGCATTAAATAATAACAATAACAATGAATGAATACTAAATAAATATGTAAGCATTTAAACATTTAAGATTTGAAATTTAAATATAACAATAACATGTTCATTTTAATAGCATATCTATTACTCATTATCCATTTGATTGTTTTCGTCTCAGTGTTATATAGTTTCCCCACTCCATTTTTGTATATTGTGTTTGGACACTTTTCAACTATATACTCGTATATTGGATTATTTGATTAGCTCCACATGAGCAAAATAGAGGATATTTTTTCATCCCCCAATTGTATAGTAGACATTTACATCTTCCTTAGTTTTTATCCAGTTTAAATTTGCCCATATCATTCTTGGAAAATCAAAATCAGGGACTCTTGCCTCTGGATTTTCAATTTGGGCGATACTTTGTACCCCTAAGTCTCTCCACCATGATTCCCATAATTCTGATAGATCTCCTGCCGGAAATTCAAGGTTCCATATGGGGTGTCTTAACTTGAGTCTTCTGGGGATACTTAGTGATATCTTTATTATTTATGAAATTAATTGATAAGTTTTATTTTAAATTTTTATATATTCATCTATTAGTAGTTATGTAAAAATGTTCATGTAAATATAAATTTTTAAATACATTTATTACAATAATTTTCAAATACTAATAAAAATCAATACTCGGAAGAAATTTACTTTGCTTAATTACATCTCTGGGTTCTTAAATATTGTAAAAACATTTACATTACCGAGGAATAAGATATAAGTTGTATAACTCGTTCAAAATTATATTTTCCAAATATTTTTATATTTGGACTATATTTGTTGATTATATACAGAGTTATATACTTATATATAGTGTTATATGGTACTTATCGGTTATCGCAACTACCTAATCAAATATCTATTTGGTAATAAATAAACAATTAGGTTATTAACATTTTTTTTAATATATGTACCGTGTGTTCAATTTTAAAGGTAACAGGAAATATTTCGAATGCATGACCTTGCATTTAATTGGGGTTTTTTTTATAGAGTATAGGACATAAAAATGCATATGTTATTGATAAATTCTAATTTTTAACTTTTTTTTTTTTATTTGCGCATGTGCAGATAAAATAAAAAGTTCTTAAATTGGAACCAGTATTTTGACACTGGATTTGGTTTGCCCAATTTTTTTTGAGCAACTTTGATCTTTACAGTTTTTTGATGTGTTCAAAATTGACATTTTTAAGATGGTCGAAAGTTTTAAATTAGGTAATTCGTATTTATCGCATATTTCAACGCTCTACGTATCTTAACAGGTTAACTGCCACATGCACCAGATATGGTACACTGTAGTATTTCCAAGTAACGCATAACATTTGTCACAATGTTTGTCAATTTCGCTAAGCTAAAACAATAACAAAATAAGATTTTTAATTTATGCTTTAAGTATTTGAATAGTATTTGTCAATGATTCCAGTGTACCTTAAATAGTACACGTAGCACAAACGTAATGTTCAGCTGTGTACCATTACTGGTACACTTAACGATATTTTATTAACATTAAAAATTGCTGTGGCAGTTAACCTGTTAATAAGCATTTACAGATATTATAATAACATTGAATTTATAAAAAAATATCATAAGATTATAATAATAATTTATTATTCCATAAACTGTTTAAAATTATTGTCATTATTTTCAACGCATGCATTTCATTCGTCTAAGTAGTTCTTTTTGTGTAGCTGCTATTATTTGATCTTCGGTGAGTTCATTACATGCAATGATTATTTTATTTTTCAAATCATCAAGATTAATAGATGGGTTTTTATAAACTACTGTTTTTAAATGTCTCCATAAAAAATAATCCAATGGTGTTATATCAGGTGATCTAGCGAGCCATTGTACTGGACCATATGTACTCATCCATTTATTGGCAAAAGTTTGGTTAAAGTATTCTCGAGCAATAATTGCATTACGGGCGGGAGCCTCATTTTGTTGGAAAATGCGTTGAATATGCGATAAATACGAATTACCTAATTTAAAACTTTTGACTGTCTTAAAAATGTCAATGTTGAACACATCAAAAAACTGTAAAGATCAAAAAAAATAGAGCAAACCAAATCCAGTGTCAAAATGCTGGTTCCAATTTAAGAACTTTTTATTTTACTGCGCATGTGCAGATGAAAAAAAAGTTAAAAATTAGAATTTATCAAAAACATATGTATTTATGTGTCCTGTATCCTGTAAAAAAAACCTGAATCAAATTCAAGGTCATGCGTTCGAAATATTTCCAGTTACCTTTAAAATTGAACACACGGTATTGAGTGGTGATTTTTATTAGTATTGGTGTAAGAATTTCTTTTAGATAAGTAACACGAGTAATAAAAGACAATATAAATCAATCTACAATTATTTATTCTGATTGTTGGCTTGGCTATAAAACAAATGAACTACATAATGCTGGTTTTAATCATTTAACCATTAACCATACTTATAATTTTGTCGATCTTCAAACTGGTGCTCATTTACTGAATGTTGAAAGGTGTGGGGGCTTAAAAATGGCACAAAAAAAAACAGAGATACAAAATACCTTAACAAGAATGTCAATGTCTAAACAGTTACTTGGTTGTTAGTTATTTAACAATATACTATTAATTTTTGATTTTTACTTTATGTTACTAAGATAACTTGCTGGTTATATTGAGTGTTTAGAATTTTCATTAAAATAATATTCATATTATGTTAGCCAGTTCAGTTTATCAGTTCTGTTTTCAAAATAACCGAAAAATGTTTGAACAACTATACATGAAAATTAATTTTCAATTTATTCCTATAAAATTTTATCTAAATAACATTTCATTTGAATAACGCCCTACTCTGGAACATGGCTTGATCTTGGATTTGATACATATATTTTTTTCTCTAGCTCTTAATTATAAAAGTATGTAGGAATGTGCTCTGCCTATACATTCCTACTTAATATTGTGTTAAAGTCAATTATAGAAGTATGTAATTACTACCTAAATTATTGACATTTTACAGTTTTGTTGAAGAACTGTTGTCCAATATATTACAGGTATAATATTTATAAAAATAATGTTTTAATAAATATTATGTTTTAAGATAATTAATGAAGTAATTTATGGAAATTTCTATATTGAAAAATATTTAAGTATTGAGCCGCTGAAAAATTAAAAATTGAAAAAGTCATTAATTATTAAAATGTATTATTTTTTAGTAAATAATATATCATAGAATTAGGTAATGTTTAAAATATTTATGTGTAATTTTGTAAGACACTAGACAATGTATTCTATGAAAATGTTTTATTAATATAGTATTAATATAATACTTTCTAGTACACAAAAACTTCTGTTCCATAAAAAACATTGTTAATATTACTTACTTTGGGTTAACCTATAAATTAATATATTATAAATATATAAATGTGATTTTTTAGTATTGTATTATTACGGAATAATTATCTTACCTTATTCGTTAATACCATTTAGTTATATTTATAATTAATAATATTTTTTTATCTATTTAATAATAATAACTAATTTAATATTGACTATTGTATTATTGTAGTTGATTCAGATACCGATGAAGGTACTAAAGATAAGATAATCTGTAAGGACAGATTTCCTAAGTATGTGGATTGTCAAGAAACATTAGTGGAAATATCATTTATCAGATGGATAGCTGGTTTTCGGGTGGAATGTCGCAGGTTGTCAGGCCATAATAGTAGGATACTTTTCTATGGCCTTCTAAATTTTTATTATGTGTAAGTATAGTAGACTATTTTTTAATTTTTTTATTTTATATATAAGTACTTCTTCTCCTTTGCTTTTCTCTCAACTATTTGGGGTTGGCCTCCCTTGTCCTAAACTTCTAAAGGTCTTGATTTTCTACGTCCTCTAAATACACACCAACAGCCCTCATATCATTCTCATTTGTATCCTACCATCTCTTTTTTGGTCTTTTTCTCTCATCTTGTTCACTATATTTTACATAAGTACTTATAGTCATTAAAAAAAATCGATGTCATGAAGTATCATTTTTAAGGTAAAATAATCTTAATGTCTATTTATTTTATTTTTACTTTTTGACCCACTGTAATGGGTAGATTCTGGTTCAACAATAGTTTTATAACTTATTTTCAAAGATCAAAAGCCAACAACTATCACACTTAATAAGATTATGTGACTAATATAGTTTTTATAACTTTAGGTCTTCTAATGTTACAAATAATAAATTATAATAATAATTATAATTATATAATTATAATATTACAATTATTGTATTATTCTTTTGAAGATTCATCATTTTATTTATATTCAGAATATTAATTTAATAAAATTTTAAGTCCAAAAATTATTAAAATTATGGTTAGAAAGCTATAAATTTACCTATTTCAATGTAATTTTTATATTTTGTGCATTTTTCATTATATTAATATAATTTCATTAATCTTGAAGCATTATTTAACTTGTAAAACTATTGAATATGTTGAATTAAATAATTTTTTACTTATTATATATGTATAAAAAATATAAAATGTTTTTAACCAATTTATATTGTTTATAGGAATATAGTTCCAGAAATAATAGATTGCAGAAATAAAACTAATAAATCAGATCTTTTGAAAACTTATGCAGAACAAACTATAATGTTTTTTCATTCATATCGTAAATGTATAAAAGAAGTAAATATGCACTAGTTTTTATATTATATAACTTATCTAAATTATTATATTTGAAATAGCAAAAACATTCAACCAATATAACTTTATCTTCATAAAATTATGTATAAATATATTTATTTTTTTTACTAATTTTTATTCCAGCAACCATCAGATACTTTGGATGTTATATATTATGATAAACTTTGTTCATTAATAGCATATTATACAGATTTGAATTTAATGGCATCACAGTAAGTTACATTGTAGATATAAATTAATTTACAATAATTAAGTTTGAAGTATTTATTATATTTAGCTTTTAAAATTACTATTTTACATCTATATATTAAATAAAAACCAGATAAGCTTTTATAATTAAAACAGTATATTGGTACTCATTATTGATCAAAATGTATATTAATATTAACTATCATTTAGTTATTTACATAAGTTTTATAATTTACTTTTTAGGCGTTACAAAGATAAATCATGGGACAAAAAAACTTCCAGTAAAATCAATGCAATATTCTCTCTTTGTTTAGGTAATATATTAGAGTTCTACTAATTTTATTTATTTGTATTTTAATTATATTTTTGTTTTTAGATGATAACAGTGATTACATGTTGGATTCAATATTTCAAATGTACTATATCTTTTATGGTTCTATTAATATTTCTATAGGATCAATAATGCTTCCAGTGTTAAAGTACGTATTTAATTTTAATTTGTAATATACTAGGGGGAGTAGAATAAATTAAATAAGCATTTACCAAGCATATATACTTTTCATATTGGAATAATATAAGCCTTTACCTATCTAACCTATCTAAACAATTTAAACCAATTGTATCCAATTAGTTTTGTACTTTAAAATAATTCTAAAACAACTCTTAGTTTTACTAAGTATAACAAATATTAGATGTTTAAAAAAAATTATTTATCAAAATTTTTTTATGTAATTGAATTTGTATAGTTAGGTATATGAACAATTTAGTATTTACATTTCGTGTCTAGCAGTATCAAATGTCTTATTTTATCAAAAGAAATGTAATACAATTAGGTATGTACATACACAGATGAAGACAATCTTTTTTCTCAAATTTAATATTTATATTCATTTTCTAATTAAGGAGCAGAGTGAAAAAAACTTTATTTGTTAGTTTCCAATTTATAAAGTTACTGTATCTTACATGATTTGTATTACTTTTATGTTTATTAACTGAAAATTTTTTTAAGAATATAGGATATATCATTATAAAATTATTTTCTTTTCTTCAGTCTTTTGTACTCTTTGAATGTACAATTCTTTGATATTTAGTTTTAATTGTGCTATTATTAATGATAAAGTTCGTATACATCAGGGTTGAAACGTATAATACAGTATAGTATAAAACACATATTATACATATGTTTTATGCTGTATAAAAATAAAATCCCTTGTAAACAAAATGTATTTATAATTTAAACATTTTAAATTTAAACATTATAAAACAAGGGAATATAAATTATAAATAAAAAAATTGTAGTGCTATTAATCTATTATTAATAATTATCATTATTTTATCGCGGGCGTATTTATAGTAAATTCATTGTATTTGTAACTCTTAATATTTTATATTAATAGATTATAAATGAAAATTAAAGTAGATATATAATATAAAATAATAGAAAAATATATTTTTACTATGTTTAACAATTAAAAACCTTACTTAATACCTAAAATAGGAATTATTTTAAATTTTTAAGAGCCAATAACAAACCATATTATATGTAACGTAACTATCACAAATATAAAACGTTTTATACAGGTATATTACCAACCCTGGTATATATATATTGATTTTATAAATTGCTATTTTATGACTGTACCCATAAATATGTTTATTTTATAATTTAATAATTAATTTTTTTTTTTCAGAAAAATACTTGCTGAAAAACCAAGACCTCAAAAGATGACATTTTTAACTTATTTGCGATACATTTTGGGTTTTAAATTATGGAAAAAAACTATTCATTCTTCATCTTTAACTGGGTTTGATAAGAGAAAAGAGATGGATGAAATGAAAATATCATTGAGAGAATTGAAGCCTCCTAAAGATTTTATGAGCCAACAAGGAAAATATAATTGGCCTAATTGGCCAAAGCTTACAATGACACCAAATGGAACACCAGAAACAATAGAAAAAGATTTAAATAAAGTTACTTTAGTTTTATATGGTGCAAATTTATCCCTCAAAGATTGCTATAAGGTAAATTTTGTACAATTACTATTTTAAGAAATCATATTTTTCTTGTTGGAATAAAAAATAATGGATTAATCATTATAATCAGTTTATCATTTAAAACTTTCAATAGGTATTATTAATATTAAAGTTTCATAAATGTTATAAACAACTATTTAACAGTTATGTAACACTATGTAATAATTATGTTGATAATAAAATTAAATGAGACCGCTAGTTAGACCGAAGATGTAAAAATTATTTTCTATTCTATTGATAAATGAAACACTTTGAAGCATTTAAATTAAGTCTATTTTGTTTCTGCAAATAATAATAACTTAAATTATTATTATTTTAATAGTTGACATTCAAATTTTATTAAAAACAACTTTTTATAATTTACAAAATTTCAATTACAACTTTTACTACTTAGATTTTGCTCTAAGATATATTTATTTTTCTCCTATCAAATAATTTTGATAATTTTATTAAATTTAAACAAATTTTTCTATCTAATGTAAAATTACAAGAGATTATTTAGTATTTTCATTATAATCTTTAACTATATGTTTTTTTAGTTTTAAAATAACATTGTAATTAATATTGAAAATATTTTTCTAAACATTTTTCGTCTCAAATATTAATTGAAATTAATATATAAATAATTTATATGTATAGGATATATTGGATACTTCAAAAAAAGATATTCCATCAGTTATGAAAATAGTTGAAGAACAATGTGCAATTTTAAGACCAGATATATTTTTAGAAAGTGGCAAAGAAGTAATAAAGAGATGGGTAAGAAATATAATGATATGGGTTATGTGGCCGAAGTAATAGTAACAAAATATAATTGGAATTATATCAAAATATATTTAAAACTTCTGATAGCGCTGAATAATTAATTTACCTGTTTTTTAAAGTTAGAAAAATAATTAATTTAACAATAAGTTCAAAAAAATAGATAAAAATGTTAACATTTTTTTGACTAATTTTTTTTTTTACAGGCTGACAATTTTGATAAAACTCTAAAACCCCTTATACCAACTACACGCTCCTGTAATAGTTTACTGAGACAAATCAAGTATAATTTTGGTGTTGGTAAAGTTAAACCTGAAAATAAAAGCAAAGATAATTTAATTAATATTCCAAATGCCGAAATTGCAAAAACTAGCAGTAACGATAACCACATAGTAAATAATAAAGTTGGAGAAAGCTCAGATAATAAAATAGTTCAGAACAACGAAAATATATCTGATTATAGTAAAAAATCTACTGAAAAAGCTAATAATTTGAATTATAAGACTAAAATATTTGAAGAAAACAAGCAAAATGAAAATGAGCCAATTATTGAAGTGTTAAAAAATGTTCATAATAATAATGAATCTAAAATGATGCATCAAACGCGAGAAGATGAAAGTTTTGTTAATAATAAAATGTACTGGAAAATAGATAGTATAAAACATATAAATGATGATCTACATAAAGTTGATTCATCATCATCTAGTAATATGAATAGAATGGAATGCAGTGCTGATAGTACTAGTTCTCACACCTATAATGCAGGATGTTCCTACATATCAAGTAAAGGATCAAAAAGAAACAAACCCACTACTTCAAGTGAAAATGAAACGAGTAAACGTCTATGCAGAACTAAGTCTAGACACGAAAAAAATGTAACAAATGGCAATCGAAATCAAAGTATTGATTTTGATTGCCAAAATTCTAATAATGAAAATATTACCTGCAATACTTTAGATAATGGCATTTCATCACGTGAACCTCTAACGGACTCTCAAGACATTAAAGTTGCTCGTCTAAAGAACGAATCTACAATCAAAGAAAATAAATGGGTGACAAAAGCTTCACATACTGGATTATCTGTAGTTTCTGTATCAAAATTAAAACCATCACAGAGTAATTTTTCTGATGGAAGCAAAAATAAAAACCAAAGATATTGTAATTCAAAAGTTACTGAATCAAATAGTCATCAAGATAGTATTACTTCTCTTTCAAGTGAAATGCAATGGCCTTTAAAATTATCTCCTTGCAGTGCTGATTCTCCAGAATCTAAACCACTAATAACTAGTTCTGAACAAATTGAAATTGAAGCTACAAGCTCTGATACTGAAGGTAATAGTAGCCCAAAGACTGAACATATACTATCTTTAAGAAACTCAGAAGAAATAATTTCAAATTTAGTTTCTTCTAGACGATCTATTAATGAAAATGAAAGCACTAAAATTTATGCAGTATCAATGGATCAGAAACTTACTCACATTGAACATCCTTATGTAGAAAATGCTGTAAATTCAAGTACACGAGACTTAGAAGTAGTGAATGTATTATCTCCAGTTTCTATTAATTCTACTGATATTCCTATGAATAAAAGTTCATGGGTTCCTGATATAGCATTAGGTCATTCACAGAATGATCATAATGATGTTGATGGTGATCATTCTCAATCTTCAGTACAATTAAGTAGCTTGGGTAATTCAAATAGTATAAATACTAGTCGTGTTGCTAATATAAACAGTGAAGTTGAGCATATACCTTTAAATCATATGCCATTAGAAACACCTCTTATTTCGAGGACTGGACCATATAGTCAAGTTGAATCAAGAACATGCCCTGATGATTCTTATGCAGCTGCTTTATCTCCTAATGAAAATTCCGTTATAAATTCACCATATGGATCAACTTATGATGTGAACCGATTACCTTTGCCAGTATCTGTAAAATCTATTCCTGTAACTGTATCTTCAAACAATAGTATGATACACAAATTAAATGATTCAACTAATAGTATATATCATGGAAATACAATAAACTTAAGTTTTAATGGTTTAAAGAAAAAAACGGTTTTAGAATCACAACCAACTTATAACTTTGCATTAAGTAAAACAATGTCAAATGATATGAGTACTATTGAAAGAGTATCCCCAATTAATAAAGATAATTTGAATGAAATTGAAGTTGTTTCTGATGGATTTAGTGATGTGGACTCCATAGATTTGCGAATCAACAGTACTGAATCCAAAGAAACTAATTCATGTTTAAATAATTTGCCAATATCTAATCTAATGTCAGGAGATTTAAAATCAATGAATACACTCAACAGTTTTGATAAATCTAAGAGTAGGTGTACTGTAAAAAATTCACCTGATATGCCAAACCTTCGTCCAAAACAAACTTTAAAAGTATATTCAGATCCAACTAAATTAATCTCAAATCCAGTTAATTTAAATGTACAGTCAGGATTATCAATTAATTTAAATGAAGCGCATGTTCAAAAAGTGTTTTTAGGAAATAAAAGCCCTTCACAAGTGTATTTCAATCCATTAGCTGATTTTTGTGTTTCATCTGATATTGACATGTCAAATCGTGGTAATGTAGAAGAATCCAAACAAAATCATTTTAAAAATAGATTAAGTACAAGAGATTGTGTGAATATTTGTTCAAATGATAAATATATCCATTCAGTGATGCAACCATCTGATAATGATCCTAGTATAAAACAAACATTGCTTAATAGTTATGATAGTGTTCTTAATCAAAACTCACAAATCGTAAATAATGGACTTATATATAAGTTTCCTAGATCAGAAAGTAATCCATCTGTTAGATATGAAAATCCTCTTCAACTTCAACATAAAAATCCAGATTGTTTATCACCACATAATGGATTAACTTATGCAAATTTTGACCAGATATTAGGTCCCAGTTTACTAGAAGATCCAAATAAAAAAGAAGAACCAACTATAATTAATATGACACATTTAATGTTACAATCTGGTAAAAATTGTAAAGTACATTATAAATGGCCTCTGAATAAAAATAAAAGTCAAATAACTTCTTCAAATGGAAAAATTCAAGAAACTACTCAGAGTTTTGATTATAAAAACAATTCAAATGTTATGTATAAATATTCAGATGAAGAATTAAATCAAACTCGATTGCAAAATGTATCACCTAATGAACTTAAATCTCAAAATTCTGGTTTTTCATTTAATGAAAGAAAGAATGATAATACATCATTTCAATCTAATCAACAGTTCCAGGACATATCTAATTTAATTGCTTCTGATCTTTCACCTACTATTCAATCTGGATCCGAATCTATTGATGAAAAGAATCAAATTCAACAACGAGTAATTAATAGTTTGGAATGTAATACTCATAAAGAACCAACAGATCATCAAGAAACGATACACAGAAGTGCTCTAATGTCAAGTCAAAGTAAAGAAACTAGCACTACATTAGGCATTGAGGTTTTTGAAGCTGCACATCATTTATTTAACAGTGGTAAGTTATTTTTATGCATGTACCCAAAATGTACCAACAGTCACCATTTCCGTGTTTTACCTTCTAATGCTGAAATGCTTAGACATGAATTCACTGTACCATTTGATGATTTTCGTTTCAATATTCAGTACAAGTATAAGCAACTGTTAACTTCAAATCCAAGAACATGGCCTAGTATACCTGAATTGGTACAGTTGGCTAAACGGTGCTTGTGTGAAATTTGTGGTGATTTTGATTCTAAGTTAAACCAAAATCAAGATATGTTGTATACATATGTTGAAGGCAAAAAACCTAATATTGAAGAAGACAATAATGAAAATGAGCAACCAACTAATCCACAAATAAGATTAAGTTGGAAAAAAAATTTAGCACATCGTTTTACTTCAGAAGCTGTTGAAAAACAATCTATTTCTCAAATGGTGGAGGATATGGAAAGACATATAAATCGTTTTACGCAAGCTTTCACAATAATTTTTACATTAAATAAAGATGCCAAAACAAATTTACAAAACTTACAAAATGCATGTGAAAGTTATTCAGATGTTAATGGCAATGATAAATCTTTAAGCTCAGAATGTATAGAAAAACTTGAGATTGGACATAAACGTTTTAATAAAGATATATGTCTTCATTCTTATCAATATTTACAATTACCTTCTAAAGTTATACCAAAATATGTTTTGGAAGAATTGTCTAATGCTCCATATCAACCAACAAACCAGAATGTATTATCACATAAATTTGATGAAGAACATTTGCCAAATGAAATAAATAGATATTTTGTAAAAAATTCCCCTAGTTCTTCATATTCATCAGTTAGTTCAAATATTACTAACCAATCATTAAAATATATTCATGAAAGTATACCAAACACATCACATCAATCTGCTGTAGACAATTCACCTAGTACATCACGCCAATCATCAGTTGGAAATTTACCCAATTCTCATCAACCCATTTTAAATAATTTTCCCACATCACATGTCATTTCTTTAGACTCTTGCTCTTTAAATGATAGATCCAAAAATACAAGTCATATGCCTCGTTATTATTCTGATGGACAAGTGTATACAGAATTTTCTCATGCATATCTTCAAGTTCCTAATGCTCAATTTCCAAATTCTTCAACAAATTCATATTACAGTTCTCCTGTAAATATGCCATCAGATAATTCCGTGCCATTTTGTTCTCCAAGTGTTTCAATCAATTCGGTGCCCAATTCACCATCATCAGATTGTAGTATACCGTCCTTAGTCGAAACGGTTGCTACTGCTGTACCTGAGCATTCTTTGTTAGATGATAGTTTAGAAGCAGTAAATGCTGCTCATAACTTAATGTTGATCTCAAACCGCCATAGGTACAACAGTACTACTTCAATTACGACTACTAATACTACCAACACTATCACAGTTGCTAATACTGATATTACTAATGTTACAACTGTTACTAATTCTAATATTTTCACAACTGATGTAAAGGCTAAAATTATTTCCACAGTTGATACTGCAACTAATATTTCCACAATTGACACTTCTCTTAAAAATATTTCTCCATCTGATAAAATTATTAATAATATTTCTGTAACTGACCCCACTAAAAATACTCTAAAATTGAATTATATTACTGAACTGGAAGATCAAGAAACAGATATTATTCACAATAGTCGAAGAAAAAAGAAAAAGAAACATGATAAAAAGAAAGATAAGAAAAAAAAAGGAAAACGTTGATGATATTTATTAATTAAAAATAATATTTTTTCCATATACATTTTAAGCTAAACATTCCGAGCTTAACAATTTTCATCAGCAGTAAAACTTTTGACCGAATATTTAAAAATTATTTTATAACTACTGTGATTTTTATTTACTTTTTAACAAACTGTGATAATTTAAGATTGCTCATTTTCTTTCTTTTTAAAATATTTCTTCATGTTTATGAACTTCATATTTTAAAACATAATTTTCGCTTACAATTTAATAAATATGATATGTATTCAAATTTAAATAAAATTATTTTTTTTCACTCAGTTCTAATTTTAAATATCTAAAAGTAAATTGTTTTTTCACATTTATTATTTTGATTTGCCAAAGAATTTATCACAGTATTAAATCACTAATTTTTTCTAATAATTATCATCATCAATACCAATTACAAAAAGTTCAGTTACATTGAGAAAGAAAAGTGACGTAGTGGATATTGGCTGTTAAAGTTGATCTATTCTGTTCAACTTAACAAAAGGAAGAAAATTTTTAATTTGTCGAAAAGAAATTAGTCCAAATATAAACTAATATTTTATTTACTTTTTTTTATATATATGAAGTGTTAATAGTTTTGAGTAAGTACTAAATTTAGAATTAATTGTTAAAGTTATTATATTACCAGTCTGTTAAGTATTAATTAAGATTTAAGTCTCTGATGTAACTTGAAACCTTACACTTCAAGACTTCAAGATAAACTTGTGTAAACTAAAAATATGGTTAAAAATAATTTGGTACCTTAAAAGTTTCAGAGATATTTAAAATTTAATAAGTAATTATGTTTTATTTCAATTTTTCTGAAATATACGTAATTAGTATACAAATCATTGTTTTTTTTTTTTTTTATACTGTAATGTAAGACTAATTTGACCACATTGCATCAATCAAATCATTTGAAATAATCTAGGTAAGGATTTTGTTTTTACTATATAGTATTTAAAGTTGTCAAATTTAGATTTTATGATTCCTTAATACTCATTTTTATTTATCTTGATATTTTTATTTTTTTTTTTAATTTGACAATTGGCGTTTAATGATTTCACTTGGCCAGAATTTATGTATATACAATATTTATTTATTGTTGACTCTTCTTTCACTATAATTAAATTATTTAAATTTTAGCAATTGAATGAGATACTAAATTATTACTTTACTTGTTCTTTATCTTGAGTTTGGTTATAGCTTTAATTGGTCTTATAACTGGACTATAACATAATATTATGTTAAATTACTAGTTTATAGACAAATAGTATCAATGATCTTATATTGAAAAAATCAATTTATGTGTCATTCCATTTGTACAAATTTTATGGTAGAATTAATATTTTTTTATCATACTCAAAGTTATTATCTTAGTTCTGAGATCGCTGTGCGATAAAATATCATGATAATTTACCACCTTATTGTGTTTATATATATAAACTGATAAAATCAAAATGAATATTTTAATATGTTATTACTGTTTGATTATTTTTTTTAGTGTTATTTAATTAATATTTTATTTCATTGTGTTAAATTTTAAATGTTCGAAAGATATATAGTAGAAAACAATAATTGAGTAATTTTTGACATGTTTTTTAAATGTAAATTGTGTTTTATAATTATGTTTTATTTCTAAATACTCATGTTAAATTAAATAAGTGGTAACTTCTTTTTTTGAATCCCAGTTATTTTTATAAATTGATTGGAACCTTCAAAGCACTATATTTTATCTTTATGTTATCAAATGTATAATATTTAATTAAAAATATTTTTAATTATAACAATATTCAAGTATATTTTCAAAGTGGATAAGAAAAAGAAGGGTCATCAATAAGTGTCGTTAATTTTAATAGAATATTTAGGTATCTATTTAATATTTTGGTAAATTTAAAAGTTGATTTGTTGGCTTTATATAGTATTGAATTGCATTAGAATTTTCTTATTTGATAGACCTACTTTTTAAAAAAAATGTCAAGAATGGTTTGCGAGTATTTTTTTGTTAAACATTAAGACATACATTCCTTGCTTTGCTTATAATCTAAAATGTGTGTTATTTTTATTCATATAATGTTTAATAATAATAATTATTGTTTTTGAGTTAATTTATATGTTTGTTATGATTTATAAAAATATTCCCAATCAACTTTTATTAAAAGGTTTGCAATATTTGCATGTTGTTTATTTTGGTTTATACATTTTTTCTTTTTTATAAAATTATTACATAGTTATAATATTGATAATAATTGTACTAAAGATTATTTTACTTTGATGTATCATATGCTTTGAATAATTATATGATTTTATTCATGTGTTCTGTAAAAATTCAACTTCAGCATATGAATATTTATCAAATTTATTTTATTTTATTCAATATTTATTATTATTTTATTATTTTTTTTAATTTATTATAATTTTTCATGGTGTATACATAAAAAAAATTTGGTATATTTCTTACAAAAATCTAATTGAAAAATAATCAATTAAATATTTAAGTTTATTTTAACGTATTACATTTTAGTATAAAATTTATTTTATGTTACATAGTGAACTTATATACTTTTATCGTAAAGTATAATTTAGTATAAATGTAATTAAAGTTCATAACATTTTATAAATTTTAATTTCTGAATTTAATATATTGTGTTATATAGTGTATACTTTAATATGTAAATTGAAATTATTATTAATGTATATATATATATGTTTTTTTCATAGGTTTGATAAACTGTAACTTGGATACACTGATAAAGGTTTATTAATGATAGACAAATTGACACCTGGTAGTTATGAAAATTATATCATTGTTGAAGAACCTTGTTATATTTTACGCGGAAAAAAGCTGTGGAACCTATTTAAAAAAGAAATTGAAAGGTAACAATCTTATAATACATAGGTTATAAGTCATAACTTATAACCAATAATTATATATATATAATTTATTATATTAAATAAATTCTGTAAATATAGAACCAAAATAAATTGACTGTAGATTACATTTAAAATAATTCCAACATGTGAAGCATAATTTACATTGTTAAAATATATTAAGTAATAATCAAATATATATACCAACTTAATTTTCTATTTTATATGCAGTTATTATTTAAAATATGACAAAAGTATTATTTAATATTATTTACTGATATTTAATCTAAATATTAGTAGGTACAGTGAAAACTGACTGAATCGTATGAATCTAAAATCTATTCCGATTTTGTATCACTATTCATAGTCATTCAGTAAAATCCACTTCAACATCCTATATTAAATTTCATGACACCTTTCAATGTATCTGCTCATTTCTACTCATAACATATCTGAACCATTTCCCAACTAATTCTCTATTATTTTGTATTTAATTGTTGCCAATAACTCCCATAACTATTTTTTGTTCTCTGTAGTCACTTCATGGTTTCCATCCAGGTTTAATCTTATTCCTCATCAATGCTTTGCGTAGCATAATTTGCGTTCGGTGCAAAGAATCATTTTTAACGCCCCTACCTCTTATACCGAATATTTTTATATCTGTAAGCTATAAGGAGACTATATAAGAATAAGGGGTTTATATGGGGTCTATTTAAATAATTAATTTGTATTATTAAATTAATAAAAGAAATAAACAATAACTAAAGAAAAATTTAAGTAATATAACTCAAACTGATATAGATAACATAATATGCAGGTAATAACCTATCTTACTAGACCGGTATAATTTATTTACAACTCAAATTTATTCGATTGCACAAACAATAACTTACCTTTAAATAATCACAGACGAAAAATAATTAAGTACTTACGCATTTTCTGCGTTCATGAACTATGATGTGAACACTGTCATAGACAGTTTCAAAATAAAATCGTACATCTCGTTCAAGTCGACATTCGTTTATATTATTAAATTAATTGTTTGAAGTAAAAATAATAATATAATATAAATCGTATATTATTGTCAATTTTTTATTATATTATATTATATTATATTATAATATTTTGCGGAAACAATAAAAATACCAATACTAAAAACAAACTAGCAACACCATTGATCAGGACAATGTTAATGATGTCGACTACGCTTTAAGAACATGGCGTTAAATATATTTAATATTATGGATCAAATAATAAGGTTAACGTTCAGTAATATAATTTAGATAATTATATTATTTTGGGGCCTGGTGCACACGCATCTTTCGCACCCCCATAGGCACGGCCCTGTTTTTTACTAAGCTTCTAGCACTAAAACGATATTTGGTTTCCCGGGTTTTGACGGCTGGAGTATATTACCGCCAACCTTACCATAGCTCATAAAACTATCTAAAATTTACTGATGATTCGATCAAATCTTTGATTCGCTTAGATTGTCAACATAGGGAGAATGTAAACGAATAGGTTTCTGTAGCTACCGTGATTTGTTTGTCGCCAATCATCTGAGCTATCACTTGCAGCATTTCGGTAAAGAGAACCTTATTAATATTCACTGTGGTCACCTCCGACCCAAGTTATAAGCTACTGATTTACCCGATATTAAAAAATCTATTAATAAACTAGAAACTGACAATTATTATGAATAGTGACGTGGCAAGCATATTTTAAACCCAACTTTAATTCCTTTCAAATACCTAACCTATCTACCATATTTGAATATTAAATTATTTTTCAATGCATGCAATTAGCCAATTAATTTAATTAGTTAAATAAAATACGAGGTTCATAAATACATAAGCCAAGTCTCTTAATAGCATTATAGAGCTAAGCTATTGCATTAGGCAATTGAAGGCCATTACCAGGAACGAATGCAGTTAAGCTCCAGAGCGAGTTTTTAAAACTGTTATTTTTCAAAATGTTTGTTTTCGCATATTCAATTTTATGGAACTTTAAAATAATTCGCTCAAATTTCATTTTGAAGTAATGGTAAAAAAACTTAAAAAATCGTATTTTTTAGTTTAAAATATTGATCTGGTGTCTAATAACATAAAGAAGATTTTAGTAAAATCAGAACTAACTAATATTTTTTGGTTTGAAAGAAATAAGTGTATAAAATTAAGTAATAAAAAACATAAAAATATTCCTATACAATGGAATTCACTTCTAAATAATCGGTTAATAACGGTTAATAACTGATAGCCCGGTAAGTAAAGAAGGTGCCAAGTTCTAATCTCCAATCGTAACAAAATTTTTTGCATTATCTTTCAGAAAAAACGGAACTTCAATTTTTAAA